TTGATTCAAAATTACCTTATCTTAATAAATTCTTGTTATTAAGCTATCCTATATCTACTGCTTCTGTAAGTAATATTTCTATACAAGAATTAGTAGGTATAATGCAAGAAGAAAGACAAAATACGTATAAATTAGGTACTCGTAGAAGTATACCAGTGGAATTAGAAATCAAAGAAGGAAATACTTTTGTATATTATCCAGGTCATAATTTAAAATTTGATTCTTTAACTTCTTGTATTGAATATTTAAGAGGATTAGGTTTAACTATAAAAAGAGATACTTTAACCAGATATATTAAGATGGGTAAAGTATTTCATAATTTCGTATGTAAATACTCGGATATAGCTTTACCGGATAATTTTGAACAAGTTGGATTAATAATGGAAGAACATCTTAAATTAAAAATAAATAAGGATGATTCTTCAAAGGTAAATAGAAAAAATAAATCTGTATCTGTTAAGGGGGGAGATTTTGAAAAATATTTTGAAAGTATCACGGATACAATAAAATACTTTGATACTTTAAACATAAAATTAGATAGAAAGACTTTATATTTACGTTTAAAAGACGGTGGTAAATATATAAAAGTTTTTATTTTTCTTATAAATAACTCTTTTTTTTAAGGACTAACGGTTGCTTGCATGGTTACGCCTTCGTAAGCATCAGTAGCCGCCTTATCCTCCCTTTATCCTGTAGCCGGATTAGGTTTATATTAATTATAATTTATTTATTACATTAAATTATTGTAGAGTAAACGCAATGTTCAGAAATTTGTGGGATTCTTCACTCAAGTATGCCGATAGTTATACAGTCAGTTTCTTTTTAGAGCATTTTTTTTGGTATGGTTAAGCGAACAGTAAATAAATTTATAGGATTTAATAAAAGGGAAAAATTTATTTATTCTTATAAACCAATTTCACTATACTATAGTAGCGGTAAACCTAGCTATTCACCTTGTGAGGGTGGAGGTAGTGGTACTTGTTATATAATTAGAGAGAGGTTAATATATCGTTCATATATGGGGGTGTCGAATACTAATTGTATACCCCCTCTAACCAGCTCCGCTAGTTATAAAAAGTCCTTTTCAACTATTACTTTTTACAATAAGAGTGGTAAATTGGTCCCTTTAGACCTTTCAGTTAGTATGGTTAACTCTAAAAAGGAATTTTGAAAGTTACTAAAAAGCTTTGATAAGGTTAGTCCTATCCAAATAGTTGAGAATTTTTTTAAAAACTATTCTTCACCTTCTCAGATGGCTAAAAAAAACATAAGTTTAGACCTAATTCAATCTTATGATTCAAAATACAAGGCTAGTACTGGTACTCTTTCATATACTGTTAATAAGGGTGCTATATATAAAGGTACTTTTAAGATGATCAAGGTTGAGCGTAATAAACGTACTTTTAGTACTCTCCCTATAAGGAACAAGGTGGACCATCCCCTCGTGTGTAGCGTTCGTAGTAGTGTCTCGAATCTGTTTCATTTGAGAAGTTTATTACTTGATTTAGCGCTACATTTATTTATTGTTCTTATAATCGGAGGTTTAGAATTATTAGAACTAGATACTATTCATCTAGCTATGTTAACTGTTTTACCTTGCTTAGTCTATATTAATTTTGAGTTCTTTTTTCACAGGGAAAAAGAGAAATATAAACGGGAAATAACTCAAAATATAAAGTTATTTTTTAATACAAGTTTAAATAATATAACAAGGAAAAAGAGTCTTTTTCCTTGAGTTATTAGTAGTGTAATTTTAATAGTAATATTTTCTATTATAAGTTGTATTTTGGGTTTTTTCCATCCAATCTATCCAAATATTACTTGAGAATCTATTGTTTTATATCTTAATTACGAGCTTTACAAATATGTAATTATATTTGTTGTTCTAATTCAAGTTGGTTTAGTTATATTTGGGTTAAACAAATCTAGTTTAAAAGAAATATGCTTTTTATTTGGTTATATTTTTACACTACGCCTTGCTTTACTTCTACTGTTAAATATTATATTTTGTTATGATGAAGAAAAAATTATATTATTTATAAGCGTATATGATATTTTAAGTAAAAAAGATATGATAAGGGATATAACGCCTTGGTTAGAACCAAAATATTTAAAAACTGTATTAGATGGTTTAAGGATTAAAAAATACATTAATCCATTGGTTAATTTTTTTTTTTTAGAAAAATATAAACCTTTATATTTTAATAGAAAAATTCTATTTCAATATCGTTTATTATCTGAGCTATCTTGTAATAAGGTGTCATTAGTCAAACCTAAATTATTAGGTAGTGGTTACTATCGTTCACAATTTCAACCATACACTTTACCACAAGTTTATGATTGTCCGCCTTTGAATGTATTGATCTATAATAAGATTTTTAGTTCACCTACCTTAACTTATGTATATATTCATTATTATATAAACTTAATAAATAAAGATTACTCAGATATTTCATTATGGGATAATGAAAGCACAGTAGGATCTTCTTGGGAGGGTGAGACAATAATAGGCTCAGAAATTGACAGGGATTTAGATGTTTGTGATAATAAGGTAAAATTAAAGGATCCTCAATTAAATTTCTCTTCAGAATATTTCAATGAAAATAGAGTTCAATCTGTCTTTGTTAATAAAGGTAAAGGTATAGCTACAAATTTAGATCTTAATTCAGGTAATGAAGTAAATTCTTATAATCTAGATAATATGTCTCCGATAACTAATACCTTTGAAGTAGATTTAGGTTCAGCGGATGATGTAGCTAACATGTGAGAAGAATATGATATAGCTATTAATCAATCTCGTCAAACTAATCAGTATAATTTAAGAGCTGGAGAGTCTAGCCGTAGAGCTGGTCAAAGACAAGAAAACTCAAATAGTTCTTCTGATTCGCCGGATTCTCAGGATATGTTGGAGTTAGCTGATTCAATGGCTCAAACTTATAATGAAATTGTAGGTAAATCTACAGTTGGTTCTGATTTGGTAATAACTAGCGAAAGAACTAGAATAAGTCGATCTTCTAGTATTAGTACAATGGATAGTGCAGATTTAGATAAGTTAGGATTAGAATTAGGTATGATAGTAGGAGATCAAGTAAAACAAAGTCTTCATAGAGATTCTGTTTCAACTTCATCTAGTCGTCGTCTTAGTATTAGTACAACGGATAGTGCAGATTTATATGAGTCCGATTATTCTAATTATGACATAGATAAATGTGAAGAGGTATTTATATCTTATATAGAAACTATAAATATTGATAATTTTTTAAAAATAGATTATTTGTTTAAACAAATCTATCCTGATGGTAGTGAAGATACGTTTGATTTAACTGTTTCAGATTTAAATAATCACGGGGGAATTTTAGATAGTGATAATACTTCCGAAATAAACCATGATTTATCTGAAGAAACAAACTTCTCTTCCAAAAAAGTAACAGCTACAGATAATAGGGTTATAAATAAAAATTTTAACGGTAAAGGTAAAATTTTTAAAACAAAATATGCTGAAATGTGTTATTTGGTGACCTTGCGTAAAACTAACTTAAGGCGTTCTATTCTTGTCTCAAAAATAATAGAAGATAAAGACTTAAAATTAAATACCTTAAATGATCTATGCGATGAACTTAGAAAAAAAATTAGTCTTAATAAAACTTCAGAAGAAACACTTGAAGGTATGAGGGATGAAATAGAGAATTTAACGGTAAAAGTTTTGGGTTATAGATTAAAACAGGGAGAAAGACTTACTAATAAACTTAAAGAGAATAAAAAGGACATTTTTCTTGTTATCACTAATACTAAGGCAAATATTACTCGCTTTATTCAAGATTCTAATTTTAGCCTAGAGGATAAAGACTATAAATTCAATATTCTTGTAAATAAAATTGATAAATTAAGACATATAGTTAATAGTGATTCTAATAGTACACATGATAATTTAAAAAGTAAAGTTATAAGAACATTAGTTCAATTAAAATTTGATTTATATAATAATACAAAATGAACAAATGTTTTGTTTAAAAAAGATCAGACTTTATATAATTATAATGATAAGGATTTAAATTTATTAATTATACTATACAGAGAAATATAAAATTGAATGTAATAGCACCGTTTACTTGATGACTAAGACCTCGGATAAAAAATGCACCTATATCTAATAATCAAGGTGTATATTTAGATTTTTTAAATGAAATAAATAAAGTAAAAAAGGAAATGTATGGAAGTTCTAATATTAAAGATACCTTAGGTTTTATTTTAAGAAAATTAATTCAATTAAATCATAAATATTCTTATGAAACTACAAGAGAGTCTACAGTTTATAAAGTAAATTATCGTCTTGTTACAAATTTAAATCAAACTATCAAAGATGTTATTAAATTGAAAGAGAATTAAAAAGCGTATTTTTAAGTAATAGATCCTTAATTAAAAGTGTATAAATTGTTAATAAAAAAAATGACTAAGCTACGATTTACACCTCCTAGGACGAGGTAAATAGGAATATTAAGCTACTATTTCATAGGGGTACCAGGACGCAATCCCTACTTAGTACACTTTTATATGAAATAAAAAGAGTGATATATTCCTAGCATTTTTTTAACATTCCGCACTTTTTTCTTTATATTATTACTTTTGTTTATCTTTTATTTTATAAATTAAATAGTAGATAAATTTGTGGAATTCTTCACTCAAGTATGCCTATCGTTATCGAATCAGTTTCACTTGAAAAGTTTCTTACTTGACTTAGTGAACAATAGTTAATAATTATTGTTTTATACTAAATGGGGGGGGGTACATCGAGTTTTCGATGTACCCCCCCCCCCCCCTCCCCTCTATATAATAAAAACATATAAGAGGTATATTTATACTATTTTTATTTATTTTTATACTAATTAATATTAGATTAAGTGAGTTATATAGCAATACTATATAATTGTCCTTTTTACTTTAAGTATCAATATGATAGTATTGAGGTAAAACGAATAGGAAATATAATAAAACAATAAAAATTGGTTATTATTTAATGGTAGGATGTCTGTCTTCCAAACAGAATGTGTCGGTTCGATTCCGACTAGCCGTAAATTCCTTTTATATATATAAACTAAGGAGTATTTTATATTTTGTTATATACTTTTGGCTGTTGGTACAAAGTCGTAGTAAACAAACAAATTTAACCTTTATCTAATGTATTGTTAGCTCAGTTTAGCTTTACTTTATTAGGTGGGCAAGTTTCACTTGGTAATGTTAATCTAAACTGATAAGAAAGGAATTAATGAATTATAAGGAAGATTTGATATTTAAGCTCAAATCAACCATTATAATTTCAGTAAGCAGTTAATAGGTCTTGTAGTAATAGAGTAAAAGAATTTTGGCAGTTAGGCTGCTATACTAGATTTACTCTTGGCTTAGTTAGTGGGATAGGAACATTTAGGTAAATATAATTAATATAAATTTCCTCAAAGAGGTATACTAATTTGCGATATTATGACTAAATTAAAAAAAATTTTTACTTTAGATAGAAAATCTTTTGTTCTATTTTGTATAAATATAGTGGTTATGGGATTATTATTTTCTTTTCCTTTGAGAGCTCTGTGTAAATTAACAGATATTCATATAGTATACCTTATTATACTTTCAGGTTTAATTTCCTATATTGTGGCGAAAGTAAATCAAAATATAAAACTTAATTCTAAAGATATTAATATGATGGAATTTTTTTATATTTTTAGTATTGGTATGTGTACGACTTCTTTTTTTATTATTTTGGGTTATCCTTTATTAGGTTTATTTATTACTGGGGAAATTGGTATAGTTATAGGTATAGTTAAAATCAAATGAGATAATATTTTTAATTCTTTATATTCACCGTTTCAACCTGAAGCTATTAATATAGGTGTTGGAAATAATGATATAGGAACTAACTATTTACAATCAGAGAATCAACAGGGAGAAAGTTCAAGTTCAAATAGTAGCTCTGAAATAATACCTATGATTAATAAAGGATTAAAAGAAACTATCTCGGACTGAATAAAAGCCGATGAAAATGTTCTTATTAGTTTAGAGAAGTTGAATGCAATGCCATTAACATTAGGATCTAGAGATATTCCAGGTGGTCATCAAACTTTTTTTAATGTTTTGGAATTTCAAGGTAAATATCTACATCATCATATAATTAAGAGAAAAGTTTGATTTAGATTATTTACAGACAATATAATTAATTCTGCAAACGATAAATTAGCCTTTGCAGCCTTAGATAAGAAAACAAATGATCTTATTGAAAATTATTTTTCTCAGGTAGAAAAATTATCTTCTATGACAAATGTAGAAATTGCCTTAAAGGAATTTTTTAATCGTACTAATGAAGTACGAAACGCAGTTTACAAGGAATTGAACGCATTCGAAAGAGATCTTGACGCTAAAGTTCGAGCTGAATCTATATACACTAGTAAGGAGTTTAGACATATATATAATGTAGAATATCCTTCAGTTAAAAAAATATATGGATCAAGATTCATATCTTAGAAAAAAAGTATCTGAAGTATTAAATGCACCTAAACAAAGAAATTAAATAAAATATTTAGTTTCTATTATAAGTGTATTTGGTCCTTAATTTATTTAATAGACTTTTATATGAAATGTCTGGGTGGCTGGCTGGCTACGTAGTAAGGATACTTTTGCTGCGTAGCCAGCCGCCCTCAAAGTGTGTTAGTTTAATGGTAGAACCTAACGCTACGGTCGTTATGGTACAAGTTCAAGTCTTGTACGCACTTAAGATAAGAGTCACTTTTTTCTTTTTTTGACTATTTTAGGTAGGAAAACTAATTCTTTATACTACCTTCGGCAAGAAATATGTGAATGTAAAATTTCATACCTCTTATCTTTTATGACGAAGTCGTCTTAAGACAAAATTTACTATGTTTTGAGCAACTAAAATATAATAAACATAGGGTGCCGTGTTTAAAAGTAATTTTAAATATTATTATATCACTATATGCTGGAAAACCTTTAGAGCTTTTGGAATTAGTACTACAGACTTTCTTAAAAAAATTGGTAGAATACACTGATATTTCAAAGTATTAGGCAATCAGCCGGAAACCAAAGATAAAAGGGGCTTAGTTATCTTCTTATACATTTTATGGGTACTTTGTATCCAGCCATCCTGATTTCTTCTCCTATAGTATGTCGGTAGTATAGTAGTATAGAAGTCAGGGAGAAGGACACTTCGTACTTCGTACACTTTATAAGAATTAAGAAGAGTGATATATTCCTAGCATTTTTTTTTTACGCTCTGCGCTTTTTTCACAAGGGGAATTCAAATTCCCCTCTCTTCATATTCAGAGAGAGGCTTATTCCTAAGGAGACGATAGCCATTGTCTGATGCGAGGTCGGGGCATCAGGTAGGAGATTATCTAACAGAATAGTAGTGGATAGTCACTTCTGACTACATTCCAAAATAATTTATTTTTATAATAATCAAACAATGAATTTAACCTTAATACTTTTTTTAATAGGAGTCCTAGGATTCGTATTAAATAGAAAAAATATTATATTAATGCTTATTTCAATTGAAATAATGCTTTTAGCCATAACTTTCCTTATATTGGTAAGTTCACTAAACATTGACGATATAGTCGGACAAACTTACGCTATTTATATAATTGTAGTCGCGGGAGCCGAGTCAGCAATAGGTTTAGGTATTCTAGTAGCCTTCTATAGATTAATTAACTTACCTGTTAAAAATTCAAGATCAAATTATTCTTATTCATATTTTAATTTATTACCTGCAATTTCACGCTGTCGTAATTTAGAGACAAAGCATGCCAGCCCCCAATGAAGGAATTATTCTAGTGGCCGACGGCGAAAAATAGTTTTAAGTCCTTTATTTATAAGTGGGTTTTCGGATGCTGAATGTTCTTTTGTTGTAACTATTTTAAAGAACCCTCGATATAAAATAGGATGAAATGTACAAGCTAGATTTCAAATAAAGTTACATGAGAAAGATAGAGCTTTATTATTATTAATTCAAAATTATTTTTATAATGTTGGATATTTATCTAAAATAAATGATAGATCTACGGTTGAATTTAGAGTTAGTGATATAACTAGTTTAAATAATATAATTATACCTCATTTTGAAAAGTATACATTAATAAGTAATAAATATAAAGATTTTATATTATTTAAACAAATTGTATCGTTAATGTTAGAAAACAAACATACTACTTTAGAAGGATTAAAAGAAATCTTAGAGCATAGAGCATCTCTTAATTGAGGTTTATCTAAAAATTTAAAGGAAACTTTTCCATCTATAATACCAGTTAAAAGAGTAGAAATTCTGTATAATATGTTAAGTAATTTATCTTCTGACTGAGTAGCTGGTTTCTCAGCTGGAGAATCCAATTTTTTTATAACTGTATCAGGTAGTAAAGTATGATTACGTTTTTCTATAGCTCAAGATTCAAGAGATATATTATTATTAAAAAGTTTAGTTGAATTTTTTAATTGTGGTTATATTGCTCAATATAAAAATCGTCAAGTATGTGAATTTATAATTTACAAAAATTCATGATATAATTATATATATTATTCCTTTTTTTGATAAGTACAAAATTGAAGGTTCTAAATATAAGGATTATATTAATTTTAAAGAAGCTGCTATTCTCATTAAGAATAAAGAACATTTAACTGAAAAAGGTTTAAATAAAATAATAGAATTAAAAAATTCTATGAATAAGAATGATTAAAATTATCTTGATTAAAAGGAAGTTTTTCTCTTGATCACCAGAGGCGAAGTGAACCTTCGTCTAGTCTTTTATAAGGCAAAACTCTCAAATTGCGGGAAACTCTTAAAAACAAACCTACCAAGTTAATGTAGTAATATAATTAATGGAACAGGTAATGACTCGTTGTACGGTAAAAACGGTTTGTATATATAGAAGATCCGCAGCCAAGCACCATAAAATTATATAAACAAAAATTGCTTACATAAAGTAGCTGATTTAGCTAAGCTAGCTAAGTTAGCTTACTAAAAAAAGTATGGGGATTAGAGTATAATATAATATGAATTTATTAGATCTGGAGAGTGACACTCCTGCAAACGAGGATCGAGCTTATGGGTCTCCTCCCTATATGTATTTGGAGAGGTTTCTAGAGCCAGGGGTCATAGTGCGTCGGAATGACGTTAGGTGCTAATCACAGTTGAGGGCGGGGTTATTTTGTCTTGCCGTATATTTCCCAAAAAAAATTTCACTTGATTCTAAATTCAAGATTCTAAAGCAAAGAAGTTTTTCCTTAGCTAGGATTTTTCATAAATAATAAGGGGGGGCTCTCAACAGTAGTTTTATATATATAATATATGGTGTGCAGTTCATCGACTAAATGTGAGTTGGTTTTTTATTAATATATAATTCCGAAGAGTGCTAATCCAGGCGAAGCACCCAAAAGGTGCTTCGCCTGGATTAGTCCTTTCATATTAATAATTAGCTTAAGATATAGTCAGTCTCAGTACGAGAGTATTGAGGTAAAACGAAGAGGAAGTCATTTCGCTTATCTAATGTATATGGACTATATTTTTATTCTATCTCGTCTAACACTTTTTAGCCTAAGTCATACTGCTACATTTGCATTTAAGGCGGCAAAGAACAATAATAATAACAATAAAGAAATAGTACGAGCCTTTCGTTCTATGGGTTACATTGGCCTCAGATATTACTCTTCATCGGTTTCACGTACGCATAATAACAACGTACTACCTTCTTCTGTAGGGAAATTATCAACTATTTCGGACCCCTGCGGGGGGTTGGTAAAAGAGAGCTTACATGCTTGATTTATCACTGGGTTTACGGATGCTGAGGGTTGTTTTAAAATAAGTTTGGTTAAAGACCCTCGTAATCGTTTGGGTTGAAATATACAAGCTTTTTTTTCAATCAACCTTCATTTAAAAGATCTAGATCTTCCCCCGGGGAGATCCCCCTCGCGGTGGATCTCTTAAAGCAAATTCAGGTATATTTTGGTGGTATAGGTGCGGTTACATGCTTAAAGGATAAATGTTATTATGTAGTAAGTTCTTTGTCTCAAATATC